CCTTGGGTCCCTAGTCAAATTAGTTCTTTATTTATTATCCCAGTTCTCAAGTATCTTTCAGATGGGCTCATCCATTGTTCCCGTACAGCTGGGTAAACAGACAAAGTCAATTCTATCATGCAGGTTTACCTTATAGCATTCAAAACCTTTTGCATATGTGGGATTTTGTTTTCTTTAAGCAAGCTAAGAATGTGTTTAAAGGTGACCTGTGCTGGAAAAAAAAATAAAAATTGAAAAGTTTGGTGACAATCACAAAGGAAAGGCTTCCAACAATTGACATGTTTCAGTATCTTGTCCAAAGGGAAAAAAAATACTCAAATAATCAGTGTTTGAAGATTTAATATGTAATCAGCCTTATTAAGCCAAAAAAAAAAAGACAATGATACAGAAAAGAATCTTAGTCGCTGACACAAAAAGGAAGAAAGGCTTTGTAGTCCTTGCAAAAAAAAGGCTTCCTTTGGACTTTATTGTGAAATGACACAACTGCATTCAACAATTTTTAAGATGAAGAAGTGATTTAAGAGAAATAGTGAAATTAGGAAAAAAGTGAAAAAAACCTAGCCTCCCAAAAAGTCAATTTTTTTGATTTTATGATACGCTCAAAGCAGACCAGGTCCTTCAGGATGTTTGCACTGGTGCTTAGCACAGAACAGTACCTTATTCCTGATGAGGGCCACTGGCAGACCCCAGACAGGAGGCAAACGATATAATACACAGGAAGAGGGGAGATGATACACCATGGAAAATAAATTCTTGATATTCCTTTCTGTCTATAATCCCACCCTATATCCATCCACTTTTTCTACACGGGGAAGAAGAACAGAAGCTTCACACGCACACGCAACAAGAATCTTTGTGCACCAAGGAAATTAGCAGATGTGTTGGTAATCTTTCACAAAAAAGAAACAAAAGCTCCCAGCTGTACTTGTAATTCCAAGATTAACATTAATAAGCAGTGTCGAGATTACAGGTATTATCTTTCTTTAAGGTGACACAGCTCAAGAACGTCAGTTCTGCAGAAACTCAGCTGCCTGTCCAACTTCTGTGCCTCAAGTCCTACCCTACACTGCAGAACATCTACAGATTCATCTGCCAGAGATATGCCAAAGCAAACTGGATTCTTGCCACTGTTTGAGATGGCAGTGAAGCAGCAAGTATATAAAGTAGGTCAGATCTGATTACCTAGAACAAGGGCAATTTTCTTAACATGTCTGTGTAAAGCTTCTGAAAATGGTAAAGACTGAACATTTGGGAGCTGCAGAGAGAACATCCAAAAATAATTTTTGATAGAAAAGGTTTAACTACATTTTAATATGAATGGTATTTTCTATTAACATCAAGGCAGAAGCCTATTTTTCAGTAGAGTTCTTCCTTTATACAAGTGCTATCTCTCTGAATCTGTCTGAGTCAACTTTAGTGACCACTTTAATATTCACTTTACAATTAATGCTTCTTTTTATGGGTTGGTAGAAGGTAAACCAATTTCAGTTCGGCTTCTAGGTATTGAATTTATTATAAAAAGTTATGTACTTAAAACTCCTATAATGAAACCAGAGGTATCATGAGATATTAACCTAGAGTTAATGCTGAGAAGGCCAGTTTGAATAATTCAATTCATGTCACCTTAAGTATCTTTTCAAATGGAATTAACTTTATCTCACAAAAAAAGGAAGCTCTATGTTCCAGTTACTGATTATTGACTCCACAAGAGTTCTGACTTAAATCATCTTACCACCATCTTCCCAGCAATTTTATTTCACTACTACCAGGATGCTTCTTTACATTTTGAGAGCTGACTTTTGTTATAAAGAAGTAGTATTAGGTAAGAGGAAAACATGGCTTCAGAATTACTGCTATCATTAGGTGATACTAAAAGAGACAAAAATAAAAGTTAACACCAAAGTATCTGCATTAGTTCAGTATAGCTACAAACCAGCCACAGGCACGCAGCCACTGCAGTCCTTTGCCTCCCATACAAGTCCACCACTTTTTGCAACAATGCCATCCATGTTTGGTAACTCTGCGGTTCTCTTGACCTGTTAATTGCCCTATTCTAACAGAAAACCCTGCATGTAAGCACTCAGAGGAGATGCTTTCAAATCTGTGCCCAGAGGAAAGTGACAACTCATGGTCAGCGTTATGGTGCTTAAGAATGAGGCAGACAGGCAGGCAAAAAACAGAAGCAGGAGATGTTAAGATTTAAGGGTAGCACTAGAAATTACTCCAAATAAACAAGTAGGAAAAAGAAGGGAAAATTAACAAAAGGAAGAAAGAACAGCTGAGAACAGACAGAACAAAGAAGGGCATCAGCGCAGAGTACAACTGTGTAGTACCATGTTTCTGCAAGACACAGGAAAATTGGAACATTGTACATCAAAACACAGATACCCTGGTAAGATCAGCAGTGTCTTGAAATAGGAAACACTGATTATCTCTCCTAGACAGTCCTATGAAGAGAAAACTATGTGGCAAGATAGTATATCCTGATTTAAATTCAGACATATCCAGGACTTCCTTAGGTCACCCAAAAACAAGCAATAGGCAAAAGATTCCAAATTGATCTGGATTCAAACAAAACTGAGGAACACTTTCTTTAGCCCAATATTTAAACAAGATGGCTTTTGTCAAAGTCCAGCTCAAAACAGAAAGGGAGAGCATAAAAGCTTCAATGGGGCAGAAAGAGCTGGAGTCGGCAGCACTTGAAGCAGGAGGAAACTATTCCGGGTCAGTCCCCTTCCAATTCTTTCCTCTCAAAAATCCCTCTCTGTTGTGTTCCCATGTGGGAGTCCCCATTGAGGCAGACAGCAGAATGCCTGACTAAACTACTGTGTTAAGACAATACTCAAACAGAACTAAGAGAGACCTATCACGACACTCACAGTTTAGGTATTAAGACAAGAGGTATGTGACAATGACACAAAAGTCCAACAAGAAGCAGCCCAATGACCTTTCCTGGGTTTGGAAAGCTATCACATGAACAGGTGTGTTAGGGTGAGGCAGCCCTGCAAATCTCTCCACAGTTTCTGAGCTGTGAGGAGAAACACAGCACAAAGGGTTTGTCTGAGGAAAAAAAAATGGTAACAATTTATAAAGCCAAATGCAAAGAAAGAGAAAACTGAAGAGGAAGACTAGAAACATCAGAAATATTTTGGAAGCTATAAGAAAAAAAACAGTTGAAGCATGCTTTGACAGGTTTTTATCTATGCCTACAAAGCTTTGCACAGGGCAAGAGGACTAGGGTAATTTCAGACCTATTAGGCTGGAGCTCTAGAGTATGTAACAATAAATGAAATGTCAACCTCGATATAATATCTGAATTTGCATTTGTGGACAAAAGCACCTGTAAGTATAGAGAAAAGAAATAACTGGATCAAAGATAAGCTTGATAGAACTTTGCACATGAAACCAGAAAACAACTTTGAAGAAGTCTCTGTATATACATGGATTGAGTGATTAGGAAGACAGTCATACAAGAGGAGATGAACGTGGACTGCTGAACCACCAGACGCTGATTTGACAGTCCCTGGGATGAATGTTTCCTATTATCTGCTTCCATGCTTCAGTGATGTAGATGTGGTGACACCAGACATCTCTATTCTAGGGGCTAACCTAGTACAGGATAAGTGTGTTTGAAGTCAAAAGGACAGAGATGAACTGTTATGCAGGGCAAAACCCGAGAGAAGTATTGGTATCACCCCTAACACAGCTGCCACAGTGCTGTTGGACTACACAGGCTCCTCCGGACTGTTTTCCATGGAGATCCACAGCAAGCTGCATACCACAAGCCACAACACAGACATCATCCATTCTCAGTGAAAATGATTCTTGTTTTGAAGATTCTTGTTTCTTGTCTGCCATCACAAAATGGATGGCAGGCAATAATACAAAAGAATGGAAGTGAAATGTTTATAAAGGTTAAAAGCCTGACAAACAGCTCCATGTCCAACAATGTATTTTACAAATAAAAACCCATCATCAAAAAACAATTCCTGATGCTGATGAAGTCAGAGTATTGCTACCTGCTTCCTGAACAAAATCAGAAGACTCCTTCCTGCACAGGCTCTTCAGAAGCAGGATGTGTCTGTGTAATTCTCATAGCAGGGAGCCACTGAGACACCAGAATCAGGCCTCCTTCTGGATACACTGTGCTGATGACTTTACTTCTAGCCCTATTAAAAATAAGCCTTTAAGACTGTTCCAGCAAAAGAAAAGATCAAGGGCATAACCTATACAAAAAGGCATGGTCTTAGGTAGGATGGCTTCTGGAGATCTGCAGATGGAAGCTACTGAAAGGGAACGGCAGGAAAAAACATCAGGTACAGCACTTTCACATAAGCAGTCTTCAATTCCAAGGTATAATCTGCTATCAGAAGGGATGCAAATCAAGTACCTAGCTACCAGAAAAAAATCTCAAGCAACCATGTTTTCAAGGCTTTGGGCACATACATCTGAGAAACACTTTACCACTTAATTTAACACGTACCTGTAGTCAACATTTTCTGGTTTTAACTGCATATATAACTATAGGTCTTCTATAAACAGCTCAAATCAGATGAGCTGCTTTACAGACTTGAGAAAGCTCTTATTGACCAAATACATCATCTGTAATGTATTTTCAATCATGAAAAGCCACAGTGAAAATGTGAAAGGCTATATCTAGAGCGACCGCAAATATTTTCCTGTTTAAGAAACAGAACAGAAAAGAGAAGAGCATTTTAACTTTTTCCTTGGCAAAGGTATGTGTTCCTGTGATTCCTACTCCAGTACAACATGGTCAATTAACTTCACCCATTTTATTGACCCAAAACTTGTGGGGTTTTTTTGTTTGCTTTCCTGCAATCCATTTATTAAGGGAAGGACTCATGGGAAACCAATCACAAAACAGTATTCAACACTTTATGATGCAAGACAATACACTTAAAGTTACGGTTCTAATAAAAGAGAAAAGAAGTTATGAATATGTCATTTGAAAAAAAAGGAGATGGGAAAAAAGAGCTTACCTTCTGCTCCTTTTCCTTGGCAGCACTGAGTTCAGAAAGGGAGTGTGATAGTTTTTCCTGCTGCTCAGCTAGGTACTTCTGATAAAGGCTCAAAAGTTCTTGGCATTCTCTGTACTGCTGCTGCAGAGGTGAGACATCAGAAGTTAAGGGAAAAACACTCTTTAGTGAATAGTTAGAGTCAAATATATACCAACTTACTTTGTGTAAATCTGATTTAGATCCATAACAGTTCAATTTAAAAACAGATACTGTGTGTTTGAGTACTGCCTAATGATGATAAATCTGCCTAGAGATGAATGTTCAAGTACACCCTTCTTTCTACTCAGAGAGTGGAAAAAGAAGAATTGCACCAGCAGCAGGAGGCAGGTGATGACATTGTTTCAGTTGGAACAACCACAATACTGATTCTTATTCAGCAGAGCCAGACATTACCAATGTTTATTTATAAATAAATAAATACCCAGCCAAGTAAGTAAATAGTCCGCTTTTAAGCACAGACATGGATTCACAAGCCCACATATCCAAATCCAATCTCTTTGCTTGAGCACCAATGGCTCAAAACCCCACAGCCACAGATGCAGCGCTACAGGCCTTTCAGAGACCAGTAATAATTTTTGGACAGTAATCTAGAGAAGCAGCAACTGTGGTGTTTGCAAGGATATTAGCAACAGTGTCCTGCCTTGCTTGCAGCATTGAAATTCCAACAGGAGATAAATCTGCTCTTCACCTGTCATTGTGTAATTCCCTCCCTTGCTCATGTAGCATGGTAAACCATTTATGCTCCCCTCTCTCCCCCCTCACTTTTAATTATGCATGCAGATGGGATAAGGGCTCGCTGTCCAAAGAGATTACTCTGAATAAATACTTTAATAACAAGTCACTGCAATTAAGGTAGGGAACAAAAACTTCTTCAATCTATAAAACGGTGTTGAGTTACAGATTTCCTTAACACTTTTATGATCTAATCATTGCTTCTGGGCAAATTCATGTTGCAATCATTTTTGCCAATCATGGCTGCATAAATAACTCACTGCTTTGTTATTCCCTGTTATGACCCTGAGGGTTTCTTTTTTTTTTGTTTGGTTTTGTGGGGGGATTTTTCCCTTCTTCTTGTTCTTTCGCAGGAAGGGTGGCCTTGCCAGGGCTTTTTTTGTTGTTGTTGTTTGGTTGGTTTTCTTTCCTTTAAATAAAAGGCTACTGAGAGAATAGGCAAAACATTTTTGGAAGAAATGGAAGGTTAATAAACCCCAATGCTGAAATCAATCAGGAGAGCTCTTCTAACACCTTTGCTCAGCACCTGGAAATATGGGAGGGTACAAACAACGGTCTTAACAAGCTAATTGCTTTCCAGAGCCAGCCTGCCTGAAGCCTGAGCTGTTTTACATTTCAGTTCATTTCGTCAGAGAGCACCAAAAGGCTGAAGTGATTTGTGGTGGTCTCAGGAGTCTCTGCCAGCTATGATGTATATAAAAGGAATTTTTTATTCCAGTTGTAACCATAGGCAGTAATGTTTATAGTAGGTGAACATATTAGCCTGGACGCAGGGCATGAATTTTACTCTAGAAAAAGCCAGTTCATTTATACAGCCTAAGAGTTAAATGTTGGTATTTGAAGACAAATTATAGGGAAATTCATTTAAACCCATGTTATGTGGCAGAATATAAAAACAGACAGTCCTATCTTTATCAATTTTTTACAGCCCTCTTAATTCACTTTGCTTCCAGCAACCCCTTCCCCACAAAACAGATTTTACCCTCTCCTCCCTCCAGCTAGCATCCTGCTGGCACAAGGAATGAGCACCTAAACAGCCTTGGGGCACACAACTGATGGCCATACACCTACCCTCACTCTTGCCACAGTGTCAATATCAGTCTTGCTGGAAAGCCAGGCAAGCTCCCCCTCACTCCTAGGCAAGTGCACCATTAAAAAGATGCCCAAATTGTGTTTTACAGACTGCAGAGCACTCACTGTGCACATGATGCCACCACCTTTTGTGTGTAGTGACCAAATTTATTTAAAATAGTTTCAAACTCAACACGCAAAATTAACATCAGGAAAGTATGCAAGCAAACCCTGATTGTCCAAGGGTCAGTTACACGATTATGAGTGGGAAGGGCAACAGCTCACACAAGCTTGAATGGCAGCCAAGATGGCCCTAAAATTCTTGTAAGATTCGGTCAGCAACAGTTAAAACTCTCTGTATTAGAAGATTAAAACTTTGTTCATTCATACAATCACTCTACATTAAGCAAAGTATTGTTACAGCCACCATAGTCTAAGAGTTTAAAGCCCTGCTTTGCTTACTAAGTAAGTAAACATGAAGCTTCAAATATGAAAAAAAGAAGTTCATTTGTTTAAGATGCATACAGAATAGCTGAAAATATGGTAATTCTCAAAAATGTGCTGGTACATTTACTGCAGAATATGTTCTTAAGAAGAAAAAAAAAAAGCCTTAATATTAGATCTTACTCTTCCATTCTGTTGAATTTTTGCTAAAAGCAGCAAGATGATCTCTTTTTCTTCTCCTGCAAATTAGCCAGGCAATATACAACACTGCCACAAAAATATTTAAGTCATTCAGATACAACAAGGGCACACATCTACTCAGGCAATACAGTCTCTAGACAAACAGATACGTAATGATAAATAATTTCATAACCTGCTTTTAAAAATAAAAAGTTGCAAGGTTGAAAAAACTGCATAGGACAAGTCCTACAGATTTGCCTTCCACAGAAAAAGTAATATGCCTAAATGCACACATTAGGTATTTCTTCATGTGTTCAGGAGCACAAATATTGGATTTGCAAGATGTTAGTTACCTGAGAGAAGCAGTACTTGGCATTTCACTGAACAGTAGTTTTATGTCCAAGAAATATGCACTGGAATGTATCACAGTAATACATTTTACGCAGTTTGTTAGTACAGTATTAAGGTTGTACTTGGAAAGGGAGAAACAAAACAAAAAAAAAAATCAAAATCAGAAGCGCAAAGGTTAAGATTTCAACAGCCAAATTTGCACGTCATACTGCAAGGACTATACATTTTAAATAATAAATTAGTTAATTTCATCACTGAACGTAAGTCAAAGAATTCAGAGTTCATTTATGGCTCTTAAGAGATAATAGCCTCAGTGGAGAGAGAACTGGCTCTGAGAAAGGGGACTGCCAGCATGCAGCAGTGACACGCTGATGGTGTCCAGGGGGTTCAGCAAGGAACAGAGAACTTTCTCTCAGGGGCAAAGCTTCACAAGAAGGCACAGTCAACCTAATGCTCAACCGCTGCCAAAGACACTCTCCTGCTCACTCCCTCTGTCCCCACCAGCTCTGCAGACCCCACACCTCTCACTCCAGGACGCAGTGGAGTGAGACTGACCCACTGAGGCAAAGGGGCCACCAGGCACAAGAGCCTGCACAAGATGAGCAGGGGGAACAGGCAGCTGGGAGCAAAGGACACCTCTCCCAGCAGCAGCCACCTGTCTGGTAGTGTTTATCCACCCTGCAAAGTTTCAACCCTACTCTTCCTTCAGTTCCACTCTCAAGCCTCAGGCTTTTAAGTCTAGTCTATGACTACATCAACTAGTCACAGCTTACTCCTTGCTGAAATACTTTTAGCCTCTCACAAGCTGAAGGAGGACAAGCAGCTGCAGTTCCTTGTTCCCAGAAACTGGGGGTGGAAGGACCAACCTCTACTGTGCCCACTGACCTCCTGCACTGTTCCTGGTACACTGTTTCCACTGCCACTTTGACTACAAGTGAAGGCCAGCTTAAAATCTGAAGTGTTTTGGTTTAGAGCATGTGTTCACACTACAGCAGTTTAAACAGTGAGTGGTCTCTTCAGCTACAGTCAAGGTTTCCAAATTAAGCCAACACCAGTCTACTCCACGAGAGCTATTTGCTGAAGGTCCATTTTTCTTAAATCACTTACTGTAAGAGGAAAAAAAAAAACAAAAACAAACCAGAACGTAGAGAACCTTCTCTTTAGAAAAAAAATTATTTTTTTTGCCCTGTATCATTACAAAGAAATGTTTCGTTTTACCTCCCTTTATTTAAAAAAATAGAATTAAATTTGAAGCATCCTCCAATCACAGGAATCTAAGGCTAGAAAAAGGTTTTCTAGAAGCTATTAGCAAGGGAAAAGAACACAGCTAATGAGATTTTTTAGCAATCAATCTAATAACAAAGGCCCTTCTGTATCATCAGAGTGTTCGTGAGAACTCCTCACCTAGTGACTCTTTCCTCAGTGGCTTGTCACAAGCATTTTTGGGACAAGCAGAAGCTCTAATTACAGAGAGGCAAAGCGTGGCACAAGGTGTCTTTGGGCATGTCTGAGCACACGGGTGCAGCCCAGCAGCCCCACACTCCATACGCCAGCTCCAGGACACGCGTCTTGCAGCTGTAGGGTAAGTTAGCACAGCTCAGGCACAGCAGCAAAGACCAGATTCATCTTGCACCTGATTAGTTTAGAGTACAAGTTTGCCTGCGCTCACCCATGCAGACAAGCCCTAATAGACTTCCCACGCATCAAGAAAGATGCCCAGGGGATGACTCATTCCTGTAGTCCCTGACTTTAGCTCCAGCTTGGACTGTCCTTTCACTCAGGGCTGCATACTCTGATCCATGGTCAGAACAGAACACAAGAGCTGAATCTCCATCTTCAGCCACAAGATGCTGCAGCCCCATCAGCCCCCATATCCAAAGGAAGATTCTCTAGAGACTCAGAGCTCTTACAGAGATATGCAAAGATGAATAAAGCAAGCAAAGAAAGGAAAAAGTCAAACACAAGTTAGATTTAAATTTAAATAAGACAGCCATAACTTACACTTTGTGGCAGAGAGACAAGAAACTTTCAGTGGTATGATTTCAGCACATGGAAAGCTTTTTGACATCTGCAATCGTGACCCCGGTAGCCACAAAACACAGGTTTTTTTTAAATTCCTGCTTAGGGACATGTATCCGGAAAACAGACTAGTTATCACCATGTTGGCAGTTTCAGCAAAGACTGAACTCCCTTCACTGTCTCAGGTGGTCCCTTCAAGATAAATGCTATGAAAAAACTAGACAGGGAAGGAAATGCTGAGGAAGTGCCACTGACAGAGTGTTGACTGTGAAGCTGGGCTAAGCACTGAAAG